ATTAATTTGTCACATTATAAGCCTTTAATGCAATCAATTTTGGTTAAAAAAAATTGGTTTAAAAAAAATTGAATAATATTTATTTCTAATTTAAGGCCGTGTTATCTCTGGCTACCGAATTCGAAATGGTGAATGGACTGAAATTGGACGTAAAGATCCTAGACTACCTGAGGTGAGTATGAAGACAGCAATTTTTTTTATGAATATTAAATGCGATAAATTAAAAAGGCAAAGTAATGCAATATGTAAGCATGGTAATTATTAAAAAAAATAAAAACAAAAAAAGCAAGAAATGAAATAATGAAAACACAAGAAATAAAAAAACAGCCTATTATTATTTATGAACTGATGAGACATAGAGCTCATATTTTTTCTCATTACAGATGTTTTATAATGTGACGAGTTCTGGCATCACAGTTAAAAAAGGTGACATTCTTGTAAGTTTTCATTTACTATTGGCATTATCTATATTATATTTTTGTAAAGTAAACTCGGATGGAGATTTTAAGAAGGTAACAGGTAATTAGCCTAAATCTATTACCTACTCTAGTGACTCCATTGCAATTGTCAGTTCCTGGTAGCTTTTCTCTTGAAAATCAAATATTTAATTGTGGTTCTTTAAGAGAAAAGTATTTAAAAATATGGCCGATAAGCTAGCTAATTTTTTAAAATTTGTAAAAAAAAAAAAAAAGTAAAAGTTTTTTTACTCCAGATTTTCTCAATGAAATAAAATATTTTGAAATACTATTGCAAAAATAAATATACACACAAGTCATTTTTTAATAAATGTATCATTAAAATATATATAAAGTAAAATATTTTATCATATTAAGTTATTTCTATATAGGCTGCTCGCTGTACCATGGAGAACACATTGGATCATACAGTACAGATTGGGTAGGTTATAATTTTTTAGCTGAAAGTTAAAATTTATAAAATTAATTGCATAAACTAAGATGAATAGTTTGCTTCCATAAGAAAAAAACTTAGTTCAGTGGCCTGAAGAAATTTTCTTTGATTTAAAACTGTGAAATTTAAACAGTGAGAAATGTAGTTTTTGTCTTTTTCTTGAAAATGTTTCACCCAATGCATGTGTTCTTTCTTTGTTGTGGTAAAGTTCAGGCACATGTTATGAAGACCTAAATATTTGCATTTTATCAAAATATATTACTATAAATAAGTTAACAAAAACAATCCTATTTATTGGAGTCCAAAACTCTTATAATTAGTTAATTAAATTAACAACATGTTTAAAATTAGTGAGTGTGAACAAGTATGGTTTATCTATCAATTAGACCAACACAAAACGACGAAATGTGCAACTTCTACATTATGTACTATGTTGAGAAGCTGCCATCACTTAATCAGAAAAACTGTTTCACTGTCGGGCCACCAAATTGGTTCTGGGATGATTTTAATGACCAAAAGAGTCTCAACTTGCAAAATGTGCCAACAACTGTAAGGTAAGAGCAATAATCAATTGTCTTTGACTGTTTAAAGACTGAAATATAAAAGTAAAAAAAAAATACAACAAACAAACAGAAAAGCAAGGAAATAAACTGAAACAAAGTTACCAGATATGAATTGTAAAAATGTTAACAAGTGTCAGTGAAGCATTCTTTTTATAAAAAATTTGTAAACACAAACACCTCACTTTAAAAATTATTCCACAGTGTTATTCCAGGCAGTGATACGCCACTAATCTGTAGCGCCACTTGCAAGTCAGACAATGATCCCAATGGTATAGTTGAAGGACTCCCTGGACGATTTGATGATGATGCTGTCAATGAGGTAAAGTGAACAGTTTCTTATCTACTTTTCCTGATTTCCATAAATTTCTTAATTACATTTCATGATTCCTTGCAGATTTAAAAAAAAATGGATTGTGTGAGTGGACTGCAATTGGAGGTGGAAAGGGGTATCGGAGGAGTGGGGTAGTAATGTGGGAGTTAGAGTTGTAAATTTCTTTAAATTCAAGAAATTATTTTGTTTGGCTGCTAACTTTCTCCTAAAGAAAATTTCAAAATAATTAATGTCAGCTTTTGAACATTTTGAGTCCTAAAAAATACATTTCATCTAAAATTTCATGTACTCTTTTCAGTAGTAAAATAAAATGAAGCAATTTTTTTTATCTTTGAAAATGTTCAGCTTTACTTTTTGCTTTAGTGTAATTAAAAAAAGTCACATTTCTAAACTTTTATGATTACTAAAAGTCTTTATTACGACAGAACACAAATTATGATCTTTGCCCCTATGCTGAGTAAGGAATAACATTTGAACAACAGAGTTTAATGTTTTTACCATTTATTTCTACATACATTTTTTTCACTTTATTTTTTTTTCATCACAGACAATTGTTTTATTTTAAAACAACATAAAAAAAAAGTTGATATTATTTTATGAAATAAAATTTTATCTTAGTTTTTGTTGTTAATGTAACATTGACCGGATATAACATTGATCATTTGATTGTTACCTACCATCTTTTTTTTCTTAGGTTCCCAGGTTTAATGGTCCTGATGAGCTCTTAAAATTTATTCACAGTCGGGAAGAGGAAGATTACCAAGATGAAATCATTTCAAGATGGCAGAAACATCAGCTAATTCAAGAATATTTGAATGCTGCAGAGGAGCCAAGCAACTGAAAGTAACCTCTGCATACTGTGAAATTAAGCTAATGTACTTTCCTTAACAAAAGTATCTTTTTAATATTCTTGATACTCAATTTGTTCAAAGTATCTTTTTAGATAAAATTAATTAAAAAAATAATTAGGTGAAATACCTTAATCTTAAAGTGAAGAAAACTATCAAAAACAGAAATGGCCAAAAATACCATTCAGTTACTTAATTTTTTTGAATACTTATACTTTGAAATGTAAAACATAAAAAAAAAATGAAGTTTACTTAAAAAATATGAAAAAAACCCCAACAAATTAAATTTCAGACCAAAAAACAAATTATGTTTTTTAAATGAAACAAGTTGGACACTAAAACAAGAATATAATATTCAAATAAAAAATAAAAAAGTGGCTGTATATTTTTATGGTAGTATTCACAAAACCCCAAAACTATGTTTAAATAATAATATGATGTATTTGTTTGTTTATTTGTCAAATAATAACCGTGTTAGTAAAAATAAGATCTCACCTCTTGATGTTAGGACCCTTCCTGTGTTCCATAATATGCAATTTGATACATGCCAAAATGTCAATCTCTTGGGTAATATGGTTTCATAAAGACCACACAAATCTTGAATTATGGGACAATTGACTACAGTTAAAAAGAAATTTGCATGACAATCCATTATTAATTTGAGAGCCTCAAGTTTGAAAATATTTGACATAAATATTAATTTAACTTACTCAATATGGCAGTATTTTTTTTCTAACTGTTTCGTCATTTAAGGTCTACTTTTAAAGCCATGCTGATTGTTGAATCAACTTAACGTCTGGCATTAGTTTGGACTCCGGTCGCCATTTGTGAACACGATATAACCAGTGAAGCTGTATTGACTACACAATCAAATAACTGTTCATAATCAACTGTGTTAAAGCTTTGTTTATAATATCATGCAAAATGTTTAAGGAATGGAAAAAGAGCAAAAATGCTTTTACACCAAAGGGTTACCTGGCATGTCTGAAAATTATTGACTATTATTAGGCAGCACTTTCAAATATCTGGTTAAAAGTCTTATCACAATTTATTTAATTAAGATTTTCAGGAGAAAATAGCGTAGAATTTAAAAACAATTACAAAACATTGACAGTGTTTCAAATTGCCAATAATAAGATTTTTAATAATGTTAGCTTTGTTAGTTTATTTTTTATTGAAATGAAGTAAATTTATTTTAACATTTAAGTAATAATTATTTGAACAGAATATATCAAATTGAACAAAACAGTTTTGGACTTGTTTCATTTAAAGGTAGGCCCTGTAAGGTAGGCCCTATAAGGTAGGCCACATTAATGAAAGGTTAAATGATATGATCAGTTGGAAAACCTTTTTAAACAATGTTTTTTTACTCCTATGTCAAAAAAAAAAGGAATCTCAAAACACTTTCTAGATATAGGAAACTAAACTGTAAAATATTCAATAAAAATTATTCAGCTTTAAATTAAAACAAAGAACAGTTGATTCCAATCAAAATGCATGTGATGTTGTTTGAAGATGTTGTGATGAAGCTTAAAAAAATTGTATTTTGGAATCTTGTGATCTTTTGATTTAAGTTCACATTTTTGTGATTCTATTTTTATGGTATCAAGTCTTGTGATTATTAAATTTTACATTATTTTTCTTTTTGTGATACAATGCAAGTGTAATGTACCACATTATTACAATGCAATTGTAATATACCACATATTGGTCTTAAAGGATCGGTCCAGGTTCTATGATGTTGATGGTTGCATTAAAATTGATATTTCTGTTATTGTTCTCCTTTCATCTCTCTGTGATGGATATTTTATTTTGTTTATTTGCCCCCTTTATAGGGAAATTTTAACTTTACCCAAATACAAAAAAAATTGCAACAGTAAGGGCGCTGTAAGGTGCACCGAGCGATGATTGGTTAAATAATACACCAAGACGATAATAGCTGCCTATGCTAGAAATTTCGCATATCTCAGTTTCACTTTATGGTTCAGTTTAAAATTCAAATCAAAGACTAAGTATCATTTAAAGACTATTCAAGGCTCTGGAGTAGAGACAATTTAGGTTCCTAGAGACAGTTGAGGTTTTCCAAGTAGAGAAAATTCAGGGCCGAGGCATATCTAGAGTGTATCGCGCTGGGTTGAAAGATTTCTTTTTTTTGCCCTCTCAACTCTAAGACCAATTATATTCCATCAATAAAATACCATCAAAGCCCACATTGGTATCCCCTACTAGAGATGTACACAGGCTCTGTACACATGGACATCTGTCAGCCTCCCCCCTCACCCAAACACTTATAAATGCATTTAATTCAGGTTTTCAAGAGACAAATCAGGGTTCTAAATGAGAGAAAAGCTTTCATGGCCATATCCACATTAATAAACATTAAATTTTGAAACACAAGTCCGTGAACAGTTGTAGTTGCTAAATTTATTTATTATGTGAGTCGATTATGCGTGATTATATATGATTATAAAGTCAAATAACATTTAAGATACCCCAGACAGGAAAAATATAAGTAAAAATAAACCTCCCATAAAAGATGGAGGTCAAGAATGGGCTGTGAAAATGTATTTATACGTATCGATTATATAATAATTGCCATTAAGAATATCACAAAGCAGATTATCACGAGGACTCCATTCACATACTTAACAATAAATTATTCTATGATCAAAATAATTTTTTACACCAAATTGTTTAACATAAAATTTGTACAGCAGCAATGCGTTGTACTCTTAACATGCAAGGTGAGACTTACACGTTACCTAGACATTATATCATATTACAGATCTATTACAGTGATCTTCAAACTTTGTTTTAACCCTATCCATAGGCCTATTAAAAAGAAGTAATTTTCCCCAACTTTTTTCTTTCTTCAAAAAGATTGTTTACGACATCTAAATATTCCTCTTATATAAAGATTCATCTTATTGTGCCCCATTGTGAACCAGTTTAAATATAATTGATATATGTGTCCAGTGAAATATAGTTTAGTTAACCTGGATGTGGTCATCTGAGCTGGATTTCTTCATTTCCCACAAGGCACGAAATTAGTTAAGTAGCAGGAAAAAATTGTATGTCATAGTTTTATACTGAGTGGCATTCACTTCAAGTGAAACAAACATATTGGGATTTTTCTCGCCCAAAGTCCAGAGATGGCATTTCTCATGCACTCTGACTCTGGGACTCTGACTCTGGTACTCTGAATCAGGGACTCTGACTCAGGGACTCTGGCTCTAGGACTCTGACTCAGGGACTGTGACTCTCGGACTCTGACTCTGGGACTCTGAGCCTAACAAAATACATCAGGCATCACAGACGTCATTACTTATTTTTGGATTCTGAAATTGTTCAGTGCCTAAGTTTAAATTCAGTTAGCATAAGAGCGGTTGGGACATAATGTGGCCACAATCTAGATCAAACTAGATGTTCCGAATTCCACTAATCGTTACAACTGCTCTGATCAAAAGTTGTAAATTATTTTATTAGATTCAACTCAAAATACTCAGAATAGCCTCCCCTTGTCGTAGCAAATAAACAATTGCAATACCATTGAAGAACTCATTGAATATATTGAAGAAGAAAGCAACAATTCAAAATCACTTCGCCACCTACTTAGCATCTTTTGATAAAAACCTTCCACCACTCAACACACACTTCAGGGTGCAAGTTAATCAAAGTCCTAATAGCACAAAAAAAATAGTTCCACGATTAAGCTAATTAAAATTCTTCCGCTAAGCTTCACAAACTTTCTTCAGCTACTGTCAAAACACAAAATTCCATCCAATCATGTGGTGGAGGGTCCAGCATCTCTAAATATTGAGATAAGTCGCGTTAACACAGATGCGTTGCTAAAGGGACAGATTGGGGGGTGGGGGTGGGGACAAATATCCCCGGGCGTCAGACACTTTAGCTACGCCTCTGCGTTAACAGCAACCGAGTAAATGTTTTATGCTGGCCCGGGTATCTTTACACGCGAACCAGCAAAGGGGCAGAAGCCATGATTTAGTAAACATGAGCCAGACAGCCACCGTGTTTAAGGTGTTAAGGGCCTTGCATTCCTCGTCGTGTTTACAACCGAGATAGCCCTCTGTCGTGAGCAGTGTCACTAGAAATATGGGCGTGTACAGCAACATGGTGGTGAACGAGCCCAGGCAGATGTCCACTGGAGCGCGAATCCTCTCGCCACACACGTCGAGGCTGTAGGACTCACGTCGAAATAAGTACAGAATCGAGACGATGACGTTAAACAGAAGTAGGAGTCCAGCCTGAAATATTGTTCAAAGGAGATGAATAGTGAACACAAATAATACACTTCAATAAAAATAGAACTTAAATGTTAACTTTACAAAAATGTCCCATGCCCCATTACAGTAGCCCATTACAATAGCCAATTAGAATAGCCCATTAGAGTAACCCATTACAATAGCCCATTACAGTAGCCCATTAAAATACTCCAATACAACAGCCCATAACAATAGCCCATTAAAGTAGCCCATTACAGTAGCCCATAACAATAGCCCATTAAAGTAGCCCATTAGAGTAACCCATTACAAAAGCCCATTACAATAGCCCATTACAGTAGCCCATTAAAATACTCCATTACAACAGCCCATAACAATAGCCCATTAAAGTAGCCCATTAGAGTAACCCATTACAAAAGCCCATTACAATAGCCCATTACAGTAGCCCATTAAAATACCCCATTACAACAGCCCATAACAATAGCCCATTAAAGTAGCCCATTAGAGTAACCCATTACAAAAGCCCATTACAATAGCCCATTACAGTAGCCCATTACAGTAGCCCATTAAAATACTCCATTACAACAGCCCATTACAATAGCCCATTAAAGTAGCCCATTAGAGTAACCCATTACAAAATCCCATTACAATAGCCCATTACAGTAGCCCATTAAAATACTCCATTACAACAGCCCATTACAAAAGCCCATTACAGTAGCCGGTGAAACTACAGACAGACTTCTATCTTAAAAACAAAATAAAACTAGCTGTGAAGTTTTATTTGAAATATGCACCATTCCAACACTAATGGTATGCACCATTTCAACACTAATGGTATGCACCATTCCAACTCGAATGGTATGCACCATTCCAACACTAATGGTATACACCATTCACAACATTAATGGTATGCACCATTCACAACACTAATGGTATGCAGTAGTATGCACCATTCCAACACTAATGGTCTGCACCACTCACAACACTAATGGTATGCACCACTCACAACACTAATGGTATGCACCACTCACAACACTAATGGTATGCACCACTCACAACACTAATGGTATGCACCACTCACAACACTAATGGTATGCACCACTCACAACACTAATGGTATGCAGTGTTATGCACCATTCCACCACTAAAGGAATCATCACCCACTGAAAGAATGTACACACGTTTAACACATTGGTTTGAGCTTACCTGTGGGAAGAAACTGACGACCAGAAGCGTCCTGGTCAAAAATCCCCCCATGTTGACATTGCACGTCTGTAGCCAGGTCTTGGAGAGCTTGTTCATGCCGTCAATGTACAGGGGAGTCAGCACGGCACCACTTATCACCCACGGCAGCAGGAACAGCGCCACCATGATGGCGCCCCGACTTCCGCCCTCCGAATACACGGGGCAGCTGAGAAAGGCAGTGAATTGAACATTATCAACAACACCAAACGAGCTTATGTTAAAAAAATGTCCATATAAATATGAATAATTTAAGATCTCCCGATTATTTTATCTTTTGAGGCTGTATTAAATGTTGTTATTTACCAAAACAATTAAATTGAGTGAATTAGAAAAAAAAATTGAACTACTCTTGAGACGGCAGTAAATCATAAAACTTTTACGCGTCACTTAATTATGTAGGAATTTCAAGGAAATAGACGAATAATTACTCACCAGAGTCGAAGAATGTAATAAATTTTAAGTTATTATACAATTACAGAGAAAAACGGGGAAAGAACTCCCCGAATTCTAAGAATGTAGTAAATAGTTAAGTTATATAATACAGGAATTCCAAAGAAAGACACGAAGAGAACTCACCACAGTCTAAGAATGTAATCAATATTTAAGGCTAAGACTCCCAGTGTTGTGACGGACGGGATGAAAAAGTCTGCGAACATTCGCATGGCGAAGAAGGTCGGACAGTCGCCAACTGTGTCCCCGTATCTCATCCCCAAGTTCAGCAGCACCTACACAATAAAAAGATGAAGACGATTATGAAGTCAACACAACTTTTGCTTGTTAGCTGGTACCCTGAAACTGCAAGTTAACGAAATAATGTGTTGAGGAAAATATATATATATTTTAAAAAACTCGACTCATTGACACGATTTGAAAAAAAAACTAATAAGACAGTCGTATATATGCAATTAGTTTATTTTGATAGAAGTCTGTGTCGTATATATGCAATTAGTTTATTTTGATAGAAGTCTGTGTCGTATATATGCAATTAGTTTATTTTGATAGAAGTCTGTATCGTATACGGTGCAAAGCTTTTTTTTTTTTAAATAATGTTTAATCAAAGCTATTTCTATCGTAACTCTTAAAATTACAATCCCGTGATAATGTAACTGTTTTACACGAGGGAAAAGCCCAGTAAGACTTACCGGAAGGACGAATACAGCCATGACCAGATCTCCAAGACAGACGCTCAGCATAAGAATGTGTCTGGAGGATGACCTCATGACCTTGGACAGCAGGATGACCACAATGACGAAGACGTTGATGAGGAGAATGAGGAGAATGAAAATGACGTAGAGGGCCGTCAGGCGACTCTGCTCCATCAGGCTCTTGGACACTAAGTATCGCTTCTCCCTGCTTAGCAACACCTCGTGGTCGTCGGGGAAGAGGTCGCCCCCGTTAAGTAGGTCAGCGGCCATGTTCTGTTCTTTGTAGAGACGTATTATTTACCACATGATTAAGAATAATTCAATGAGAAATAAAATATTTAGTAGGCTAGTGGTCATGTTCTGTTCTTTGAAGAGAATTGTTATTTACGATATGATAAAGATTAATTCAATGAGACGTACAATATTTAGTAGGTCAGCGGCCATGTTCTGTTCAATGTAGAGAAGTATTATTTACGATGTAATTAAGAAAGTTCAATGAGAAGTAAAATATTCCTATGGAACTTTGTTACGAATAGGTATTGATGATAAATAGCATTACCAGGGAGGCGAGAAGAGAATTCTTTACGACTCCAACTAATATTCCATTGAATTGACGTTATTCAAAGGTCTATACATTTGTTTAAAACTGAGAAAAATTACAGTGTCAAAGTCTATATTTCTTGGGCTCAATTTCGCTTTACTGTAACTATATGGATCTATTGAAGTTAAACATTTTATCACATGACGCGATGAGAAAACGTGACAGTGTAACTTGGTACCACGTAAGGTTAAATGCAGTTATGGAAACAGGCCCCGACGTTTGACTGCTGACACTGAAATGAACGGACCCCATAACCATGAACAGTTTCAGGCAATACATGAAATCAAATTTAAATTTGTCTGAAATATTCACATTCGTATTTTTAAATCTCCAAACTTGAGCTGAAGATGGCCCGGCCTGGTGAGTTAGCTTGATTGATAGCTTTAAGAAACACTTTTGGTCGTCAAAGAGGAATGTTGGTGTGCCATGGAACAACGACGCCACCCTTGAATCCATACGAAAAATTCCCTTTCAGTCTCAGAACACAATGGCAGAGAGTTCCAGGAGTAAATTATGTGAAGTTCCTCGGCCCAGCAACCAGAGAATGGCTGTGTGAGGGTTTTGATCGGGTTCCACAACACAAGGTCACCATGATAAAAAAAAAAAAAAAAATGAAAATTCCCTTGATCTGGCTAAACATGTGGTTTTTTTAAGGTTATGTGTAGAACTGGTGCGTGTGACGTCATGTTAGCCTGTGTCACGACCCCCCCCCCACAGGGACATTAGGTCACCCACAGGATGTTTATCCAGCATTCTAGCGTAACTTCATAAAGCAATAAGCCTTCACAATGACAGGTTGATATCCGGCCAAATAATGAACTGAGAGCAAAATTACCAAGTTCAAAAGCATGTTACACTTGTCAAAGACCGTGTGATGCCATCCAAAAGATACGCAGCCTAAGGGCACTTAAAGACTTATCATGTTTTCAACAACCATGATGAGTTAACACGTCAAGAATAGCTAATTAAAATGAAGGCATTTTTTAATAGCTGCCCCCCATCCTACCACCGGGCCCCTACCCCCAACCTACCACCGGGCCCCTACCCCATGCCCCCACCACCACCAGCTCAGAAAGAAAGAAAGAAAGATAAAAAGAAAGAAATATAGAAAGATATAAAGTAAGAAAGAAAGAAAGAAAGATAGAAAGAAAGAAAGAAAGAAAGATAGAAAGAAAGAAAGAAATATAGAAAGAAAGTAAGAAAGAAAGAAAGAAAGATAGAAAGAAAGAGAGTAAGAAAGAAGAAAGAAAGAAAGAAAGAAAGAAATATAGAAAGAAAGTAAGAAAGAAAGAAAGAAAGAAAGAAAGAAAGAAAGAAAGATAGAAAGAAAGAGAGTAAGAAAGAAAGAAAGAAAGAAAGAAAGAAAGAAAGAAAGAAAGAAAGAAAGGAAGGAAGAAAGAAAGAAAGAAAGAAAGAAAGAGAGTAAGAAAGAAAGAAAGAAAGAAAAAAAGAAAGAAAGAAAGAAAGAAAGAAAGAAAGAAAGAAAGAAAGGAAGGAAAGGAAGAAAGGATGAAGGAAGAAAGAAAAAACGAAAGAAAGAAACCTAAGCTTCAGCTTTATTCAAAATAAGTTTACAACTACTGAATGAACGTTAAAGTTTTCAAAGTTTACAATTTAACAAAATAAAGCAACAACTCACCTTCAGAATTCAAAAACATAAAAACGTACAGTTTATTAGTCTACGTACAGTACATTAGATTGCTACAATTTATGGACGTTCAAAATTTCTAACGTATAATATATAATCCTGCAGACCTGAAACTCTATTATAGAAACAATGCGGTATCGAGGATTGATGTGACAGATATGGCGCTGAAGTGTAATAGATCAGAGGTTCTCAAATGCATGCAAGCTTCTTAACAAATGGAATGTCGTTAAGATTTTCACTGTCCTAATTTTCTAGACGCCAGAAGATCAAGAATAAATATAACAGCGCGAGGTAAAGTAGGGGATAGTAGAGGTTTGTATGAGAACCGTTGCCGTGGACCTATATACACCGAGATGGCTCTTTCTCTCAGAGCTGTATATCATCAACGAAATACAAGGCAGTCACAATTCGTAGGTAGGCTCTAAGCAAAGCAATGCTCTGTGCCCCTACGGAAGTGGATCTTTCTTGAACAATCATGTCACCTTGGTCTCCTAAAATCAGCGTGTGAGATCCCGTGTTGTTAACGCCCTGTTGACAGTGCTGAGTAAGTGGCTCCGCACGTCTGCTGTTGAGTTGCATCGCATGTCACGTGGACGAGGGTGTATCACACCGGGAGGGGGAATGTTAGAGACGTCATGCGTGTGGCTGTCATTGGTGGAAGATTGCGTGGATGTCAAAGGCATGCGTGGGGATGTCATAAGTGGAGTACATGTGGATGTGAAAGTCATGCGTGTCATTGTCATAAGTTAAGCATGCGTGGATGTCAAAGGCATGCGTGGGGATGTCATGAGTGGAGCACAAGTGGATGTGAAAGTCATGCGTGTCATTGTCATAAGTAAAGCATGCGTCGATATAAAAAAAATTAAACAAAAATATTCGTGGAAATGCTGCAGCTATATCAATGATTGGCAGGGTGCGTGTATTTTGAGGTCAGTCTCATGATATCGTGATTAATCATACGACAAAGTAACAAGAAGTGGTGGCAGATGAAATGAAAGGAAGAGGCATTAAAGTAACAGAAAAGGGAAACAACTGGACTTGTACAAGGTAGATTTAAACGTGCATTGTCCAATACTTTTTAACTCATTCAAAAATGACTGAGATAATTTTGCCCGGGAGCTACTATCCTGTGTCCACCACTGGTCATGTGCACAGTCCGGACACCACAACCCTGTGTCTACCACTGGTGATGTGCGCAGTCTGGGTGCACCCCACTGTGTCTATCACTGGTCATTTGCACAGGCCGGATGCCCCTCCCTGTGTCGACAACTGGTTATTTGCACAGCCTGGGTGCCACTTCTTTGTGCTTACCCTTGGTCATTAGCGCAGCCTTGTTGCCACCCCCCTTTGTCCGCCTCTGGTCATGTACCGTGCACACAAAATGGGTGCCACATCCTTTCTGTCCACCACTGGTCATGTGCACAGCCCGAGGGGGGAGGTGTGTGTGGCAACTCCCCATCATCCACCGTTTGTCACGGGAACTTGTCAAACTCACAAGCGCAACTACGCGACGATGTCAAAACACAACTAACACGAGATATCCAAATCACGTATGGGCGGAGCTTACACTTGTGTGCCAAATCACGTGATTAGTGACTCACAAGCGCGCATTTTTTTTTTTTTTTTTTACTCTTTAACAAAATAGATTCCATGACGGCGTAGATCGTTACACGGGAGGTTAACTGTGCTAAGTGCAGTAGTAGACCTCCCCTTGGCATGAATAACATTTGGTACTGAGTAATTGGTCGAGTTGAAATGGCACCGCCTCACTTAATGCAGGGAATTTTTTGTCTGACCAAAATTCTGGATGCAGCGTTTGTTGATTGGAATAGGATCTCAACGCTAAAGTTGGTTTGCTTAAAATGGGATACACGTATAAACTTTATAAAATGTTTAAATATAAGCTACGCGTGGGCTTAACTTATGCGTGTAAGTTATGCTGCCAGTAGACATACAGAGATTTTTTTTTTTAAGTGACGGATCAGAAATAATAATTGTTTGAATTTTTTTTTTTTTTGCATTTTTCATTCAGGCTATGTCCAGTGTCAAATTTTCCCTCGGAGGGGCACTTCAGAATTTCGAGGGGGCACTTCAGATTTTTCGGGGGAGGGGGGCAGTGCCAGCTGTTCCAGTTGATTTATTGTTGAACATATTTTTGCTCCGGGGGGGGGGGGCACTTGCCCCCCCCCCCCGGAGATATAGCTGAAAGAAACCCTGGCTATGTCTAAAGATTTGTCATGGGTTCTGATTAATATAAGTAAGCTTTTTCTTTAACTAGTCAAGGAAGGTATTAAGATGAATGTGATAATCATGAAGAGAGTTACTAACGAGAACAACAGAAGCCCATTTACATCGCTTCATAATCCTTAAAAATAAGCGACCTATTAATCAAAATAGGCCGCGTTTTAAATTGAGGAACGTAAAGAAGATTGTATTTTAAAGTCACACAAACAAGAGGATTGTTGTTGCATTTTCGTGTGGGTAGTTTCTATGTCTGGGGAAGTTAAGAAAAATTGGAGAAGTGAGTTGTATGAAATAGAGATCCATGTCAGTGGGTCAACACTTACACGACAGTTGTTATGGTGAATAGACTTCCCTGTCAACTATCTGTCACCCTCGTGTTTCAATTGTGCCAGGACATTACCCTGTAGTTCTGCATTAACGACGCGAGAAACCAGGGGTCAACAGGAAGTGTAGCCCATGTTATCGACAGGAAGTACAAAGATGGCGCTAGAGCAATTGACGAGATATCTGCCAGATAATCTCCCTGCAGGAATAATAAATAAACATGTACACTTTATTGTATGTACACGGATCTACGCTTTAGAGTAATTACAGATAAATTTTTATGAAGCCGTGCCGAGTGGTTGTTGGTGACTGACTAGTGGTTCATGTTGAATAACTAGTGGTTGGTGGTGACTGACTAGTGGTTCATGTTGAATAACTAGTGGTTGGTGGTGACTGACTAGTGGTTGGTGGTGACTGACTAGTGGTTGGTGGTGACTGACTAGTGGTTGGTGGTGACTGACTAGTGGTTCATGTTGAATAACTAGTGGTTGGTGGTGACTGACTAGTGGTTCATGTTGAATAACTAGTGGTTGGTGGTGACTGACTAGTGGTTCATGTTGACTAACTAGTGGTTGGTGGTGACCAATGTTCCCTTTAAGCTGCGCGGCCGCGCAGCAATCACACAGACGCCGCGCAGCAGTTTTGAGTACCGCGTAGCTAATTTCCACTTAAGTGTATGTTTGTGTCTGTAGGCTGAAAATTTTGCGCACAAAAAAATTGATGCTGTAAAAATTTGCACACAACTTTATGATTTAGCACACGAACCAACAAACCTTAGAGGGAACATTGGTGGTGACTGACTAGTGGTTCATGTTTACTAACTAGTGGTTGGTGGTGACTGACTAGTGGTTCATGTTTACTAACTAGTGGTTGGTGGTGACTGACTAGTGGTTCATGTTTACTAACTAGTGGTTGGTGGTGACTGACTAGTGGTTAGGGGTGACTGACTAGTGATTGGTGGTGAACATGGGTGCCCGCAGGTAGGGGCAAGGGGGGCTCTTGCCCCCCTGGATTGATTGGATAAATTTTTTTAAAGACAAAAATAGACACAACATTTATTAAAGTAAAGAGAAAATAAAGAGAAAGTAACCAAGCTGATGTCCTGTCCGTTCGTTCACCATACAAATACGCTACAGTAAATTAAAACTATATTAAAACATTACTAAAATTTTTTTGCCCACCCCCCCTGGAAAGTTAATCGATTTTGTTTGCCCCCCCCCCCCTTAGAAAGTTTTCTGCGGGCGCCCATGGTGGTGACTGAATAGTGGTTCAGGTTGACTAACTAGTTGTTGGTGGTGACTGACTGCAGATTGAAATTAAGTTTTCAAGTACAGGATGAGAAATTGAGAACTATATATTTTTTTTTTTTGGTTTTTAAATTATGTCAAAAAAGAAATTGTAGGAGGAA